GCAACAACAAAAAAATAATCAACCCCATCTCCGTCAGTTTTGTTTAGAAGTTTGATGTTAGATGTCAGCAAAGTGTCCATGGTCTGTGTGTATCCTTCAGATGCAGCATGATGAAGGCATGACCATCCTCTATAGTCACTAAACATAAAGCATATAAATAAAGTATGTATGAAAATTTGACGTTGCTCAATAGCATCATACTGAAAGCGTGTAAAGCAGGGTTCCTGAATTTGATTTCACCAAAAGGTGAATTGTGCATGCACTTGTACCTGTGAAACAGCGCCCCCTTGCGTAGGAGAAGCTCGACTACTTTAACGTGACCTCCACGAGAGGCCAGATGCAGTGGGGTCAGTCCTTTCTCATCCCCCTCATTCAGCAGTCTGGTGTCAGTCACCATCTCCAAAAGCCTGTGGCATGTGTTGATCCTCCCATATCTCATCAGAAACAAACAAAAAATAATAATGCACAAAACTACAATATGTATTTGCAGCTTTCCTTCAGCTTGTTGAGAAGACCGTTTTCTTATTGCCATTCCTGAATCTTCACAGTAACAGACTTACTCCGCCGCAAAATGAAGTGCAGATTTCTTCTGTTTGGACTTTTGGTCCAGCGAGACCTCTAATCCCAGCATGTTCTTCACAGACTCTGGTATTCCCAGTCTACAGGCGTAATGGAGAGGAGTACAGCCCTCAGTATCCTCATCATTGAAAAGCTCTCTCACACTCTTGTGCTGTGGATAAACCAAAAGAGACTTCAATGAACTTCACACAGCCTCCTACCTCTTTTTAGTGGAACTAACAGTAGAGGGCAGCAGTGGCTTAAGTTTAGGGTCTCTGAGGACGCTGTGAGAATGAGTTATTCGGTGAAACATGGGCACAGTCTCTTAAAGCCCTGTACGTTTTACCTGCAGTACCTCTGTGGGCAGGTTTTTCAGACCCCTGGGCTGCAAGATGGCCAGATGCAAGAAGTTGCATCCAGATTTGTCTTTTTTCTTCAGATCAGCTCCTACAAACAAATAGATCAGTTTGTTAGTGTTATTTCTTATTGTTATTTAGATAATTATAATAAATAAGACATGAATTATAAGACAGTGGTTCTTAACCAGAGGGCCTTAGCAAATGGGGGCCTCAAGATGACCTAAAATGTTTTTACCCTTGTGCTGTACTGAAAAGCCTTTATTTAATGTGGTGTTCCTGTTCAAAAATGACTGGCCTTTCATGTAAATCTCTCAGTATTCTATACAATCACCAAATCTTGGATTCAAACATTTTGTTAACTTGTTTTCTTTCAGTTAGCACAGATACCACAGAATTGATTCCAAAAGCAAAAGGCTTTTATTAAAAGCCTGGCTATTTTTGACTGGGATCACAAGTGCACAAGGTGGGGGGAAAAACCACCCCCACTTTTGTCTACATTGGGGGTGCTTGGAATCAAAAAGGGAAAGGTGAAAACAACTGTTATAAGATGTAAAATGATCAAAATTATTATAATAATTATTATAAATAATAATGAACTATTATTATTGATGTTCATTTATTAAGGTTACCATGGGAGAGGAGCAGATTGACAGTTCTCCATGCTCCGCAACTTGTTGCCAGAAGAAGTGGAGAATGGCCTTTGCAGTCAACAAAATCAATGTCAGCACCCTGGAACAATATTATCCGGCTTTACGGTAATTGTCAGAATATCATGTTTAATTTGACAAGCATAGTTATTTCACTTCCAAACAACTGCAGTTGCCATACCTGTGATATAAGGTACTCAGAGAGTTCAAAATGATCAAAAATTGCTGCTCTGCAAATGGAAAATAAATCAGGAGAGATTTCTCAGATATGTTGGTTTGTTTAGTCTCGTTTAGTCAGGTTTAGTAGGTAAAGTTTAAGTACTTATGTAGAGGTGTCTGGTTGGCCCCATCAGTGATGTTGATAAGGTCACACACTTTATGGTAAGCCGAGAGCATGACTTTAACAACCTCAATGGCACCTTGACTACATGCAAAGTGGAGAGCAGTGGATTTATCACACTGTAAAGAGAAAAAATATGTTACAAAAGTACCGGATTAAACATTGTCTGTTGGTGTCTATTTTATGACAAAATCCTCCATTACCTGCTGCTGTTCAATTTTTGCTCCATATGCAATGCAGAGTTTAATTATGTCGAGATTTCCTCCACGTACAGCCAGGTGGAGTGGACTACTGCAAGATTTATCCACATAGTTTATATGGGTGTCAATAGACAGACCAACCTCTTCTCCTGTGTGTGAAAAATGAGAAACAAAAGACACTTGGTTTTTAGGCTCAAAGCACTAATATAATGTTTCAGACTCAGAATACACAGTTGGTTAGGTGATACAGAATCTCACCTTTCAGAAGAATGACCTCCATGGATTTCTTAGCTCCAGCAAAAGCAGCAGCATGAATCGGAAAATGACCTAGCTTGTTCTGGCGACAGAACTTTGCACCATGTTTGTACTGGAAGAGAGGCAATGATTATATGGCTATAATCATCAAAAAACAGAGAATATTTCAAACCATTCAAACCAACTTACCAGTATGACCAGAGCCTCATGGTTGTCCAAAGAAGCAGCTAAAATGACAGGGGTGTTTCTCAAGTCCCCTTCCAGGTTCACATCAGTTTGTTTATGTGAGACAAGTTGCTATTTAAAACCAAAAGTTTAATAATGTTATCTACATTGAGAGGCTAAATATATTGCTTCCAATGAAAAACACAACTATGGACAATAATACAATACTATATGATGCTGTGAGCAGGCTGACTCACCTCTAACACAACATTTTTACCCATGCTGACTGCCATATGTAGCGGTGACTGTTGGCTGTTGTTTAGGATGTTAGGATCTGCTCCCAGAGTCAGAAGCACAGAGCAGCTTCCTGGCTGGTCCTTCTGCACAGCCCAATGAAGAGGTGTATTCTCCTCCTCATCCCTGGCATTGAGCTCTGCAGTGTTATTTTTGTTTAGTTTCTTTACAGCAATATTTCACATTCATATTTTGTCATTAATTCAAACTAAAATAAATGTCTAAAGGTGTGGTTCTATTACCTTGTTGTCCAGTGATCTGCACTATTAGTCTCATGATGTGAAAGTGTCCCATGGATGCAGCGTAGTGCATTGGGCTGGCACCGATGTTGTCGCGTATGTCCAGGTACCTGGTGTGCTTCTCCAGAGCGACTACATTTCCTTGCTTAGTCCACTGCGTTTAAAATTCAGTCATGAGGAACGTTAGACCACCTGCACAAGCTGTCATCTCACAGTACTATCAGACATGGGAAACTAGACACAACTGAAAGGCATGACAGAATTTTCTCTCTCTGAAAAGTTATACAATATTTTGTATTGCATTTTAGATACTATACCATTCAAAAGTTTGGGGTTAGTAAGTTTTTTTTTTTTAATTAATGAATTAATGAAATTAATCCTTTTATTTAGAAAGGACACATTAAATTGAACAAGAATCCTGTTTCCACAAAAATATTAAGCAGCACACCTGTTTTCAACATTGATAATAAGAAATGTTTCTTGAGCAACAAAGCATATTAGAATGATTTCTGAAGGATCATGCGACACTGAAGACTGCAGTAATGGCTGCTAAAAAAAAAAATCAACTTTGCCATCAAAGGAATAAATAAATAAAAAATATTTCAAAATCTTTCTGATCCCAAACTTTTGAGTGGTAGTGTATATGTATCATTTCTGAATAAATGAGTGAATGTAGATAAGCAGAGTACCTCAAATACATTTGCAGATATCTGGTCGCTCTCGTCTCCATCCATTGCACTGTCGTATGACTGTTGTCTAGATTTTGACTCGGTTTTGGAGATGTGTGTCATTTCTGCACTTTCTTTAGTCATCCTGCAAGTAAGCTATGAAAAACAAGGGGAAAAGTGTCATTTATTGTTATGTCCCATAATATTAACCTTTCAAAAACACAAGTTTCAACAGATCAGAGCATCAGATAAACAACACGCAAACAAAAGAAGAAGAACTTGAAGCGGCTGTTTATGAGGCCCATTCTTACCCATTTTGAATCCCATATATATTGGCTTGTGTGTGGCTTTTTTGCTGTCGGTGAGGTTTTTATAGTGTGGTTAGATGTGTCCTGGTTATCAGATTACACTGCTTCACTAAGAGAGAGAGAGCGCAATAGAGCCTTTACTATTTTTCTGATGCAGCCAGCTCGTTCCTAATGAGACTTACGGGTGCACTTAGAAAAGAGCAAATACGTAAGTTTATGGATGCTGAGAATCAAGTTCCACAAGCTATATTACGTTATGAGGTTTTATGTATGAAATGATATAATTGTGATTCTGTTTAATTCATGTTAATTATATTTTATTTACATCATCCATCTTTTTTTTCAGGTAATTCAATAAACAAAGCATTAATTGTGAGATTTGTAAATGTCAATCAAGGATTTAGGAGTTAAAAGGTTACATATTACCATCAGAGTGGTCCATTTCAGGTCTACGATCATTTCCTGTGAGTACTACAGAGGCATAAACCCCTGGTTATGTTCATGGGTCATTACTGCTCATGAAGATCATTATTTGTAAGCAGTACGACTGAAGATATTGTTGTATCTCCATACAAAATATGACAAAAACTTGTTTTATACAAACATTTTGTAAACCTAAGTAAAACTAAGTAGCATGTGGTTAAATCCATAATAGACTTACAGTCATTGCAATCATGTCATTTGGTGCAGAACCAACAAATCATATGAGGATTGTTTTTGTTGATAAAGCAAACAGCTTGTGTCTAATCTAATTATTAGCATGTGATGTTTAGTAACATGTAGATGTTTGCTTTACTTAGAGACACTCAAGATCTCTTGACTGCATATAGTCCAATACAGTTCGGTTCCTTTCCATTTTGAATTAAAAGGTATAATGTTTCAATATCAAGTTACATGATTACATGACAAGTTACATTCTTGGTTTTATGATCTGATCTTATCTTAATTGTAAACATTTGCAGATGGGTGATAAGAAACAGAATAGGCTAGTTTTATTGTTTGTTTGTTTTTTTATCTAATGATCTAATGGTGAAAGACATACACTGTATAAAGCATCTTTGTAAATAATACCAAGATTATTGGAGTACATTTAACAATAAAATACAATTTCAGTCTTTCTATTTCAAATTTTCACATTCGGTTGAACGTTAATTGCTGTTTCTTTGTAATTATTTGTGAAATTTATTAGCCATATATCTGAGTGAAAAAACTTTTTCTATATCAAATGTTTTTTTCAGTGTATATATGATCCATAAAAACTAAAAGGAGTGAACTTGTATAGAGTGAACTTACATATGTCTGTCAGCATCACTTTAATACAATTAACAGGATTCTGAACTTGAATTTACAGTAGCACATTTAACTATTTATTGTGTAAAAAAAAATCATGCACAACTGTATATATAGGGGCTTTTGATTCCCTGCCATTATTTTCCGTTCATTATGTTCTTAATTTAAGAACATTTTGCACATACATTAAAACATATTTTCATTCAAAAATATTAAATTACTAAGAATAAAATGCATATTTGTGTTAGATGTTTACAGGGTCCAAGCCTGTGGAAAGTATTAAGTATCAAGACTACCATCCTGACACATGGCCTCCAGGTTTGAAGTTTAAGGGTCTCTCACACACCAGCAGATTTGAGAATGGCTGAGGAAGTGCCATCGGAAGACAGACCTCTCAATGGGAGAAACTGCTGCCAGATACTATAGCTGGTATGGCTGACTTTAGGAAATTGGTTTAAAATAGCAGGACCGGTGGATAGCACAGAGGCTCTAATCATGGCAGGACAAGAACAAGCACTCAGCTCTAAATCAATAGGAACGGTCCTCCCGAGACAATCCAGCACCTAATAGCAGGATGCATGATACAGACAGGAACTGCATGCACTTCTGGCACATCAGGATTTTACAGGCAAGCATCAGAAATCCCAAATCACAATGATTTTGTGATTTTAAATTAATTAAGCATAATTTTAATTTTAAATTAATTACATTAATTTAATGGAATTGTATGTATATACATATATATATATATATATATAGTACCATATCACTATATATAATGTAATATACTACATATTTAGTTTATATTTATATTTACATCATGTTTTTCATGCCGACTCATCTTGTTTTAACTAATTACAGGCTCTTTCTCTCTCTTCAGAGACTGGGTGGTATTCAGTTACTCTCCATAATCTCTGATTTTCTTTCAGAGTCTCAGTGATGTGAGAGCTTTGGGTGAAACCTCACCACCTCATGGGGCTTTACTGTTACAAGTACAGTATGTTTGTCTCTCTAGTTTGTCGGAATCACCCAAGACATTATGGTCCTTGAATCTTTTTTATTCCATTGGTGCATCACTGATGTACAGTTTGAGAGATGGAGGGACTGCGACCTCTCAGACCAGACAGACGGTGACCATCTGCCTGAAGGGCTTGTTCCAATGGCATTTCGTGGCACACTGTAGAAAGCATTAAACTGTTTCTGGTCTCTAATAGCTTTGTAGTTTGAGGCAAAAAGAATGATATGTTTATTTTGTATATACATTTTTTATTTAATATATTTTATTAGAAAAGAGTTACCCAGTTAAACTTCAAAAATAACCCCCAAGTTGAAAAATGACCTCAATATTACACTTTAAGTGGCCTGTTTTTTGTTTGTTTTAGACAGAAGAAGGGTCAAAACAAAGACTGTAAAAATATATTATTTTAAATCTAACCATAAAATGTAACAAAAAACACATACATTTAAATAAAATATAATCATCCATGATGTGCTATGCAGGGACTTCTGGAAACGTCCTTTTTTTCTGTTTCTGTTTTTTTATACTTATAAATAATGTAATTATAAGGTGGCTTTTACATTATTTTGACTTATAAAGACAATTTTAACAATAATTTACTGTAAAACTGCATGCATTTTCTTAAGTAATATACAGAACTGTACATTGTATGATAATTCATAATTTTTACTTCCAAAAACCCTGTATTTTTCTATATTTACAAAGTCATTAGCTTAAAGAAATTGAAAGATATTTCACACTTTGAATTTTATTTTAACATGAGACTTTAAAGACTTTCTGCTTCTCTCTTAGCATGACTTCTCAAAACTTTGCACTTGACCTTCATTAGCTGTGAGTGTTTGGTTTGCAGGTCTAAAACCATATCCTCTGTATTTTTAATGAAGTTGCTGGTATAAGGAGTTTCGATAGGTCCAGGATCAGAGAGC